TGTCCATTACAAAACATTCACTGGTGGTTTACAATTACTATCTTTAATCTGATTAATGTTGTATTGTTTATTATTGTTTGTACCTAGTCCTGGCTAAGCATGGGTTTACTAATTGTTTTGTTTGACCCTGTTTGTAGCAGCATTTTGTTTTGTCCATTACAAAACATTCACTGGTGGTTTACAATTACTATCTTTAATCTGATTAATGTTGTATTGTTTATTATTGTTTGTACCTAGTCCTGGCTAAGCATGGGTTTACTAATTGTTATGTTTGACCCTGTTTGTAGCAGCATTTTGTTTTGTCCATTAGAAAACATTCACTGGTGGTTTACAATTACTATCTTTAATCAGATTAATGTTGTATTTTTTATTATTGTTTGTACCTAGTCCTGGCTAAGCATGGGTTTACTAATTGTTTTGTTTGACCCTGTTTGTAGCAGCATTTTGTTTTGTCCATTAGAAAACATTCACTGGTGGTTTACAATTACTATCTTTAATTGCAACATAACCACAATATTTTTCACAAAAATTATGCAAAACAAGTAAAAATAGCAAATGCTAAATTTTTCTTTTATGAAACTATTCATATCAGCCTGTTCACGTAATGCAACTTCGATTTATCTGAAGCTATAAGACAGGCAGATGTTAGTTATTACCATAGCCACCAGGAGCAATTCTGACTGGGTTCCAAATCCAAAAATGGGTAAATGTATTATTGCACCCAAAGTGTGCAATTTTGACCAAAATGCTGCTTTAACCACCCCACTATTAACACAGGCCAGTGTTGGTTTTATTGTCAGAAAATAATTACATGTTCTACAGTAATTCCTGTATGCTGAAACTGAAAATGATATCCATTTTTCTCCATCACGTACAGATTTTTCACAAAATGTCATAACACAATACATAAAAGAAAGACCACAACACGTAGTTTTGAGACTAAAAGACATAGATTTCACAAAAAAATATCAGGATCAATGAGGATACATTTTTGTTTGACATCAATGTTATTCCCTTTTCCTCAGTTTTGTTGTATTTTTGTTAACAAATGTAACAATAAAAATTGTTCATTGTGGTAAATGAAATATTAATTTGATCTAAGTATGAGTTTTTTTCCTCCTGATTTGTAAAAATCCTTACATGATAGAAAAAAATGAATATTATTTTCAAAATGTGCATAGCTGAATTATGGAAAATCCGTTATTGTAACCAAAACAACTTTTATGAAGTTTAAATTAGCAGGCCGGTGTAATTTAGAATATTTGTTTATGATTAAGGAATATAAAGATTACAGGAAAAACTACTCGCATTATAAAACTTTATTAATATTTGAGGAAGAATAAAACATGATTTTTTACCTTTTTAGATGCAATGAAGAACTAATGAGAATCCAACTAGTGAAGAATGGACCATTAGCTGTGGGTTTTGAAGTTTACAATGACTTCATGTACTACAGTAGTGGTATATACCACCATACAGGCCTTAAAGATACCTTGAATTTCTTTGAAGAAACCAATCATGCTGTTTTGCTGGTTGGATATGGTGTTTCTAATGGTGAAAAGTTTTGGATTGTAAAAAACAGTTGGGGCTCTAAATGGGGAGAGAATGGATTCTTCCGTATTCGTAGAGGTACAGATGAATGTGGATTTGAAAGCATGGCAATGGAAGCTACCCCTATTCCATAGTTATAGAAGTTGAGGAACATTTAAATATACTGGATACTGTATCATCACTAGGCTTTTGTTTTATGTTGCTATTAAAAACTTTTAACCTCACTCTGATGATATTCTTATAGATAGATATTAATAGTTGCTTGTGTCTCCCAGGTAGTAGTTGTCACTTTCTATGACATGATTCTCAGTACCCCAAAAGGTTAATGAACCTACTGTTTAGCACATCTGTCGTGTATAGTCTCAACAGTTGTGTACTAGATAATGTTTGTGAAATTACATTACCATAAAATGTTTACTAACAATTTCAATCATAGTATTCATTATCAGTTTTATTATGATGTATTACTGCTCAAGTTGGAATGGTCTTGTAACCTACACATTTTAGTTACTACTATTATTTTTTGAAATATAGCTATTTTTGTCAAAAAATTGTATTTGTGATTGTTCAACACTAAAGGCAATATAGGAGAAATATAATGACTCAACAACTGGTATGTTTAAAGATTTACTGTTTAACTCTTAGCAGGAATACCACTGCCACCTGTTAAACATGCTCACTTTTTCAGCCATTATACTGTGACGATCAATCATTGGTAAAGAGCAGGCCAAGAGTTAGTGTAAGTGATGTTGACTAGTTGCTTTCCCTCTAGCCTATTACTTCAAAATATAAAAAGCCAGCTCATATAGCCCTCGAGTAACTTTACATGAAATTCAACAAACCAAATTTGTCAGTACGTCCAGATTATGTTTAACTATTTTTTAAGTAGTGTAAAACACTGAGTTTATCAATTTTGAAAAACCATTGAAAACCAGAGTTATATAAAATATGTGTAACACTTAATTTTTTTTCCAGTTTCCAAGAATTGGAACAAACTTTCTATATTTTATAAATAATGGCTATACAATATACTATATGCTACTGTACAGATAAATATTTTTAGGCTATACAATATACTATATGCTACTGTACAGATAAATATTTTTAGGCTATACAATATACTATATGCTACTGTACAGATAAATATTTTTAGGTTTATTTTAAAAAACGAGTTAGTACTGAGCTGTATGTAAACTGTCCTAAAAATTAGAAAGCTTGAATGTCCATTGTTTTATTTTGGTTGATAGTGATATGCAAAGAAACAAAAAAAAATTATATTATGTGGTCTCAAGTTCTAACCATACCTTGTTACTTTAAATACATTTTTTTATAACTATTTTTTATTGAAAAATTAATTTTGTTCCCAGGTATTATGTAAAAAAAGGAATTCAAGTTAAACCTTGTACTAAGAAAATAAAATAGTTAATATAATTTGCCAACTTCTATATAATTCACACAAAATAAATTATACTGGACCTGGTATGGCCTAGTGATTATTAAGCTCAGGTTGTGAATCTGATGATTCATGGTTTTCAAACCATTTCCACAAAAATGCACTTGGGAGCCATGAGTGCAGTTTAAAAATGGTAGTCAATATCCCATTATTTAACTAAACAAGTTTTTTGTGGATGCTTTGATTAGCTGACTTCCTACCATTAATTTTATTTCTGTCATGTGATGGTTTCAAAGTTTCTCCTAAATGTCAAATAGGACATAATTCAGATAAATTCCCAACTAGTCATGCTATAAAAAGTAACACCTCAGGCCAAATTTAGCACATTGTAGTGTTTTCAGATTAAACTGATTTCATTGAGGAGCATACAATGAAACTGATTTTCACCAAACAAGATTGAAAATTGCAGCTAGCTATTCACAACAAAGTAAATATGAAAGTGATGAGCATGGTGATCTCTCTTCTAATCTAAAGTATACAGTTAATAAAATTCTGTACTAGATAGTTGATTTTGTAAAGTTTTCTAAAAGGAATGATACTATAGACTTCTACTTTAGCCACGAAATTTAATAAATGTGCAAAGCAGTGCACATAATATGCCTTTAGAGCCAAATCTTTCACACATTTCTGTAGTCCGATGTAATGACCAAAACATAATACAACAGCCATCACATCCTTTGACACACATATTGTCAAATGAAAGACTATGTTTTCCAAAAGATTCTGCAGTTAAATGAAAATTTCTGATATCTTTATATCAGAGCACACTATCATAGATTGAATTACTTATCCAATTTGCTGAATATCTAACAGCACAAGAAAGTTGGTCTTGTTCGCTCCTGTCAGGTGTTGTATCTAGACAGATCGAAAAGTATACAAACAATCTCAGTACTGGCATGAATAATTTTATGTTAAGATGATGATGATGAGATATAACCATGATATCTATGGGTATTAGCTTTTGACTTTTCATAATTATCAGCCAAATCTAGATAACAGTGAGTAACAAGCTCTAAAAACCTCAAAAAAAAATCTCTTTTTGAATATGTATTCAATTTCTTTGTGTCCTCGGAGAGGAAGGTTTAGATGGGTAAAAATATTTATAACATCAAGTAATAACTATGAAGTATCGTATTACTACCACTCCTTGGTTTTTACAAAATGTTTCTCCTCTGTTCATTATTTAGCATTTTATCTGCAAGGACACTTTTGTTGAAATTGCTCCAAGCTTTCATACATTATGATTATTGGCTTTTGACATGTTTTTCATGGCCTTAATTGGCTTCTAGTACCTTTTGCCATTGTTTATAACCATCTTGTTGAAATGTATCTTCATAATGAGATTTTACAACATTCAGCATGGAAAGCATAGTGCAGCATCCTTTATTTATTATAAGCCAGCCAGAGAAGTGAATTAAACCATAGAGGTTAAAAACATCTCTTCTTAAAATTGAAATTAGTCTTGTGGTAACAGCAGTTTCAGTTAGATAGGCCCACATCACAAAGTTATTGAGGTGAGGTAACATTAAAATGCAGCTGCTGGAGGACATAAACTTATCAGGCTGAGATACTGTGGAAATTTAAGCTGAGTCAGAAGTCGAATTTGGAGATGAAGCAAAGTGTCTATTAAGTACACTTCTGATAATACCAATATTCCAGCTTCAGTATTGTGTGTGAACTAAAGGCATTTATTATCACTATTGTTAATGAATAAGAGTAACATTTTATACAATTAATAGAAAATTGAATATATATATATATGTATTACAAAATAAAGATAATAATGAAAATAATCAGAAGTGTTTTGCAGATAAAGTTTATAATCAAATATATATAGATAAAAAGTGGATAAAAGAAAACACCATTTGATGAAAAATGTCTACTATAAGTAAAATATGACTTAAAACTTACATTGTAATAACTTTATTGAAGTCAGTTCATGTATGTCATTCTTAAGGTAAGGTGCCCAAGAACGAATACAGTATATTAACAAAAATTTATAGTGTCAAAATGCTATAGTATTACATGATTGAAATGCAGTAATAAGTGTAAAAACTTTAAAAACATGAGAATTATAAATGAGCACAACAAAAAGAATGGATTTTTGTCAATAATATCAATGAAGTTTTGGGTTCAAAACTCAATATTAAATCATCTGCCTTAGCCAGCAATACAATTGAGCTTATTCACACATCTGAGTTCTAGCTCTCTGGCATTTAGAAATAGGAAGGCACATAATGAATATCTGATTGAAGAAGTAGCAGGCGATATTGATATTGAACTTATGATTACACCTCAAACAACAACAACAAAAAAAAGTCTTGTAGAAGGGATGGTTTACTCAGTTTCACTAAGATTGTGAGTGATAACAGAAAGAATAACTTGGGATGGTTTACTCAGTTTCATTAAGATTGTGAGTGATAACAGAAAGAATAACTTGGGATGGTTTACTCAGTTTCACTAAGATTGTGAGTGATAACAGAAAGAATAACTTGGGATGGTTTACTCAGTTTCATAAGATTGTGAGTGATAACAGAAAGAATAACTTGAAACTGAATGAGAAAGTGTTGCCACATTGAAGAAAGTTGATTTTTAACACATGATGAAGAAAGTTTGTCAAAGTAATATTCATTTTGATGTTTACTTAAAGTATTTTACTTATGAAATAAATGCACGTACAATCAATTATTGAATTTTATAATCAAAATTGCATGACATTCAATTCTTTGTAAGAAATGTAATCTACTGTTCCTAAGTTCTTAGAGCAATATCATTACAACAAAAGTATTTGTAAGAAATGTAATCTAGATTACATTTCTTACAAATACTTTTGTTGTAATGATATTGCTCTAAGAACTTAGGAAGAGTACTCTTCCTAAGTTCTTAGAGCAATATCATTACAACAAAAGTAAAAGTTTATTACTATTCCTTTTTTAGCTTCCAGAGTTTTTAAAAGTTTGTTTTCACAGACATGGGACATCTTTTCAACATATCTATCTGCATGATTAAACTCTCCATCAGCATCTAAAATAATTTCATACCAATTTTCACTATACATGATATGCAACACATTATTATAACTAAAGATATCGAGTTTGAGATATTTAAGTCTTCTGAATCGACTCTAAGCAATGCAAAAGATCTTTCTAGCATAAGTTGGATGGCTGACAAATGATAATTAACATGTTTCTTTTTCCTGTCTAAATGCCCATTATCCTTCTATACGGTTAAAAATAAGGAAGGTTTGGGCAGGCTGCATCTCCTAAAAGATGGGAGTCATTGGGAAATAAAGAATATGGCATATTAGACATCTTACAAAGAAAATCCAGCTTTGTGCACAGAAGCTGGTTTTTCTGCAAAGGCTTTCTATAAAAATTATCCTGCTGTTATAGACTTCTTGGAATATAACAGAGTGATACCCCTTTTATTTAATATAAGAAGCTTGTGTTGACACTGAGGCTTTGATGGTGATGTGAGTGCCATCTATCAGAAAACCATTGAGTTTATCAGTCTTTAGACACTGTTACTGCTTCTTTTTCACAAGCCTAATTAGTAATATCATTTGATATAATCAAAAGAGCATTTGAGATCTTTCTTTACATATTTAAATACTTGATTTTGATATAATCGAAAGTGGATCTGAAACAAACATTGCTTAGAACGATTGTACATACTGCATTAATTGACTGTAGAATGTATTTCTTGTTTTAATGCAAAAAGCATGTAATTTGCATGGTCACAGTAATATTTACATAGTCCACTTTAGTTATTTCTGCTCAGTAAACATTAACTTTTTGACAATAATTTGATTATAATACACATATTTTTTGATACCAAATGGTAAACAAAGTACCTTCTCTGAGAGGCACAATTTTTGTCGGAGAATTTCCTGTTAGAAAATTTAGATGATTATTTTTCTAAGTTCTTAGAAAACTACATATCTATACATGAAATCTCTTTCAGTATTTTGACTCATTTTGGTATAGCTAACCCTAAGCATTGACAAAAATTGTCTTCTTATTGTTAAATTCTTAGTTTTTCATGAATGTTATGTTTGATTTATGGCTTTATAGGTATTATATATTTACCACATTGGCA